GAATTAGGTGTTTTAAATGATGATCTGAATGTGAAAGTTTGTTGTGCATAACCCCCGTTGTGGGTCCCCAGGACCAGGATTGAAAAACACTATCAAATCTGCTAGCACAATGTCAAAATGAACTATTAGCACACTAAAGATCACATAAAAAGAAACACAAGTTACTTCATATCTTTTTTTTTATCAGGCTTCTATCTTTTTGTATTTCTTGTTTCACCTTTGTTGAACCAATTTTTAACAATTGAATGTTAATTGTAGGCCTGATGGAAGTAAAAGAAGAAAATCAAGAACTGAATGAATTTGACGACAACTTCGATTTTCAGACACCTGATCATTTCATAACTGAAGAAAAGAGTTTCAATAACTCTCAGTCTGAAAAAGGACACCTTAGGGATCAAATTACAAATCATACCAGAAAGAAGCCTTTAACATGCCATCAGTGTGGAAAGAGTTTCAAACATAAAGGCCATCTTAATGTTCACATGAGGATTCACTCTGAAAAGAGAGCTTTTACTTGCCTTCAGTGTGGAAAGAGTTTCAAACATAAAGGCCATCTTAATGTTCACATGAGGATTCACTCTGCAGGGCTTTTTTCATGTTATCAGTGTGGAAAGAGCTTTGCTCGTAAACAAACTCTTCAGAATCACATGAAAAGTCACTCTGGAGAGAATCCTTTCCTGTGCCAAGAATGTGGAAAGAGTTTCAGCAATAAAGGACACCTTAATATTCACGTGAGGGGTCACTCTGGAGAGCGGCCGTTCACATGCCCTCAGTGTGGAAAGAAATTTATTCATAAAGGACACCTTAATGAACACATACGAATTCACACTGGAGAGAAGCCGTTCACGTGCCCTCAGTGTGGAAAGAGTTTCAGTCATAAAGGATGCTTGAATGTTCACCTGAGAATTCACTCTGGAGAGCGGCCGTATACATGCCCTCAGTGTGGGAAGAGTTTTAGTTATAAAGCATACTTTAAAGTTCACCAAAGAATTCACTCTGTAAACAAGCCATATGCATGCCAGCAGTGTGGAAAGTGTTTCATTCATAGAGGACACCTTAATGAACACATGAGAATTCACACTGGAGAGAAGCCGTATATATGCCCTCATTGTGGACAGAGCTTCACACATAAAGGAAGTCTGACGTTGCACATTAAAAAATCACACTGAAGATGGACTTTCCGCATCATGCCATCAATGTGGAAAGTTTCAAACACAAAGGACTAATTAAGAATCACATAAAATCTCACACCAGAGTGAAGCCTTAAGCCTAATATCAGAGCATTTGGTGGTGCTAATGCACTGAAAATGGCTCAAATTACTACTAACTGAAACATCAGCAGGTCATGATCCCCTGAACTATGTATAATCTTAAGCCGCGTTTCCACCGCATGAACTTTCCCCAGGAACTAGGAACTTTGGGGTGGTACTCCGTGTGTTTACACCGCAGGAACCAGGGTCTAAATGAAGTTCCGGGTAAAAATTTCCCCCCCAGAAAGTCCCTGCTGGCGAGGTAGTACTTTTTCAGAGTTCAGGAACTTTCGGGGTGGGACTTGTGCGCTGAACATGCTGATTGGTTCTTTTCCACTTACCTTGTTCTCTCTGCCGGATGGCGCGCGTTCGTCCCATCCATCTCATGGTCATGTCCGCTATAGCTGATAACAAACGTTGTCTATCTAGCATTACGAGCTTTCTGAAATGAATACGCTTTGGTATTAGTGTTCGTCTCTCTTCTGCCGTTTTGTTAATTACCTCGTTAGTAAACCAATAGATCGCACACAAAAGCAGCACAGCTTGAATCTCCTCAATACTTAAAACTCAAAACAAGTACGCGCAGACTGGGAGGAGCAGTCGCACGCAGTTCAACGTCACCAGACTAATCTTCCCGGTACTTTAGTCCACGGTGTAAACGCAGTGAGCAATCGTTCTGGGGCAAAAAAAGTTCCTATGAAAAAAGTTCCTGGGACAAATAGTTCCTGGTAATTGCGGTGGAAACGCGGCTTTAGTGGGTCTCATACTTTTTTTTTTTTTTTTTTTCTCTACTACCACCTTATGAAGGTTTTGTTTCTTGCTTACTGGGGCCATCAAGTTAAACATTAAGGCATATTTTTTTATTAATCTTTAAATGGTGACCTATGACCGGCTGCAACTAAAGCTATTATTACAGCAATATTTTCTGTAAAGCGGCTTTGAAGTAATGTACATTGTTATCGTTATACACTCCCCAGCCACTTTATTAGGTAGACCCCCTTTGCCTTCAGAACTGGCTTTATGGCACAGATTCAACAAGGTGCTGGAAACATTCCTCCGAGATTGTGGTCCATAATGTCATGTTCGCGTCACGCAGTTGCTGCAGATTTATCGGCTGCACATCCATGATGTGAATCTCCAATTCCAGTACTTCCCAAATCTGCTCTAGTGGATTGAGATCTGGTGACTGGAGGCCGTTTGAGTTTAGTGAACTCACTGTCATGTTCAAGAAACCAGTCTGAGAGGATTTGAGCTTTATAACGATGCATTTTCCGCACGTTTTGTATTCAGAGATGCTCTTCTGCAAACCTCGGTTGTAACGAGTGCTTATTTGAGTTACTGTTGTTCTATCAGCTTGAATCAGTCTGTCCATTCTGCTCGGACATCATCAGCAAGGCATTTTTGCCCACAGAACTGGCCCTTACAGGATATTTTCTCTTATTATGGGCCATTTACTGTAAACACTAAAGGGAAGCTGTGCTTGAAAATCCCAGGAGATATGAAATACTCAATACTCAAACCAGCCCGTTTGGCACCAACAACCATGCCACGTTTAAAGTCACTTAAATCACTTTTTTCCACATTCTGATGCTCAGTTTGAACTTCAGCAGATTGACTTTCTCATTTCTATATGTCTAAATGCATTGTTGCTGCCATGTGATTGGCTAATTAGATGTTAGCGTTAATGAGCAGTTGAACAGGTGTACCTAATAAAGTGGTTGGTGAGTGTATAAATAAAGCCTTATATAAAACTGACTCGACAGCTACATCTTTTTCTTATCGGGCAGTCCTTACTGACAAGCTACGATTTATGTGCACACACCTGAAGCATTCATATAAAGTCACTGGTCACACAGCTTTTAAGAGTACTGAGTCGAGTTCTTGTTTGCTGCTTATTGTGCTTAAATGGGCAAATACACACAGTTATGTCAAAATGCCCGCCTCAGAAAGTATTCACGTAAACTCTTTTGGGTCTTCAGTGAACATAAACAGTTGTGTGAGAATCTGATCTTTGTCATTATATTGGACCTGTGCATTAAGGAACGGCAGACTAATGTAGCTGTTGCCATCGGTGTCTGTAAATTACTCAATGCTCTTGACTGAATGACTTTTGTAACTTCAATAAAAATCGGTGTATATTTCATACAGTGAAGACTGCAGTGTTTCATTTAAAGTATTTCTGATAGACCTATCTGATCATTTTAAAGCACTGTTTATTGAATTAATGTCTTATTAATATTAGGGCTGTTTTCGACTAAGGATTTTCATAGTCGAATCTGATTCGTTAGATTTTGCCGTAGTCGACTGATAGTCGTTTTTTTTTTTTTTTTAGATAGCAGCTAGACGTTCGGTTGAATAACTGTTCGTCTGTTATAGGACAACTCGCTCTACGTTTATTTAAAATGAACAGCAAGACAACTAGAAGTGAATGTGCTTTCCATTAAATGAATCCTTAACAAAAAAAAAAAAAAAACGTTGCAATGAACGTGCTTTGTTTTAAATAAATCACACACAGTAAACAAAACCTTAACAAAAAAACTTTGCAATGAACTTTGCAATTTAGACGCGCAAACTGCGAGCCGGTGCGGTGAGACGTAGCCTACATGCTCGGGCAGATTCGGCTTGAAGTCCTTCATCCTCGGATGCGGCGTCGCGCGCGCTGTTACAAAAAAAGCTGTGCACACAGCCAAGCGAAATGGGGTCTTGCCGGTCTTGCGCACCCAACGCGTCATTTTTTGCCGTGCGCACCTTCGCGCTCGTGCGGACGCGTCGAGTATAAACAAGGCTTTACTCCGTGTCAGCGCGCGCTCTGATCGGTAGGTGCACAGACCTCTCCCGAATCATCTCCAGCACTCAGCCTCCGACGCACCACTAACTCCGCCTCCGTTTCCCTCGTAAGATGATATTAGTATTTAAACATTCTCTATGATAAAAAATGTTTGTAAAAAATATTTGAATAGCACGGTTTTGGGGGTTATAGAGTTCTAATGACGGGGTTCACCTATAACCGTCGTCTCACGGTAATATAATACACCCCTATTGGTTACGTAACATAACACTTCCCTATTATTCGACTATGAGGTTCACAGTCGAATCAGACCTCTCCGAATCGAATCGTCGAATCCTCGACTATTAGAAGTCAGCCCTAATTAATATTGTGTTTATTTGTCCTATTACTCGTAACTAGTTTCTTTGTTCTTATTTTATTAGTTTACTTGTCTTTAGTAAGCTTTTTACTTATGTTAGGCTATGTATGAAATTGTTGAATTATTAAAATTCAGTTATATTTGAAATTTTGCTATCTTAACAACCGTATTTAAAGCAACAAATAATTGTATTATGTTACCTTGAAATAGAATTACTCAAATATTTTGGCATAAGATTTTCTTCATTTCGTCCACCCCCATTTAACCCTTTAATCGCGCTCAAATAGACTAGGTGACTAGGTGGTACTTGGGCACTTGGATTTAGTTGAAGCTTGTACCTGACCTAAAAATTGAGAACCACTGGCTTAAAATCATAATAGCAGTAAAATAACGAATTTACTACAAATTATACAGAACATACCTACTTTATACACATCTAAAATACTACATTGCATATGAGTTACTATAGCAGATTTTTCAGAATTACAAAAAAAAGTTCCTTCAGGTCTTTTGCCAATTTAACTTTCAATATTCATCTCTTTTTTTGGTATTTCTTGTTCCACCTTTCTTAAACTGATTGTTAACCATTAAATGTTAATTGTAGGTCAAATGGAAGTGAAAGAGGAAAGTCAAGAACTGAATGAAGTGGAGGACCATCTGAAATTCCAGACACCTGAAAGTTTCATAACGGAAGAAAAACCTTTTAGTAAACTACAGTCTGAAAAATGTTCACAAAAAGGACACCTTAGGGATCACATAAAAAATCATACCAGAAAGAAGCATTTAACATGCCATCAGTGTGGAAAGAGTTTCAAACAAAAAGGACATCTTAATATTCACATGAGAATTCACACTGGAGAGAAGCCTTTCTCATGCCCTCAGTGTGGAAAGAGATTTATTCATAAAGGACACCTTAACGGTCACATACGAATTCACACTGGAGAGAAGCCGTTCACGTGCCATCAGTGTGGAAAGAGTTTCACACATAAAGCAAGCCTCTCATGGCACATGAATATTCACACAGAGGAAGAACTTTCCACGTGCCAACAGTGTGGGGAGAGGTTCCCAAATGCAAGAATACTCAAGGTTCACACAAGAATTCACACTGAAGAGTGCCCTCTAACATGCCTTCTGTGTGGAAAAAGCTTCACACATCAAGAAGAAATTAAGTGTCACATGAGAATCCACACTAAAAAGAAACCTTACACATGCAATGAATGTGGTAAGAGTTTCATTCATAGAGGACACCTTAATGATCATTTAAGAATTCACACTGGAGAAAAGCCGTTCACATGCCATCTGTGTGGAAAGAGTTTCAATCATAAAGGATACTTGAATGTTCACATAAAAATTCACTCTGGAGTGAAGCCACATACATGCCATCAGTGTGGAAAGGGTTTCATTCATAAAGGACACCTTAATGATCATTTAAGAATTCACAGTGGAGAGAGACCTTACACGTGTCCCCAATGTGGAAAGAATTTTAGTTATAAAGGATACTTGAAAGTTCATCTAAAAATTCACTCTGTAGACAAGCTGCATGCATGCCTTGAGTGTGGAAAGGGTTTCATTCATAAAGCACACCTTAATGAACACATGAGAATTCACACTGGAGAGAAGCCTTTCATATGCCCTCATTGTGGACAGAGTTTCACACATAAAGGAAGTCTGACATGGCACATTAAAAAAAATCACACTGAAGATGGACTTTCCGCATCATGCCATCAAAGTGAGAAGAATATTAAAAACGAAAGAAACCTTGAGAGTCACTCAAGAAGTAACTCTGTAGACAAACCATTTGCATGCCAGCAGTGTGGAAAGCACTTCATTCATAGAGGACACCTTAATGAACACATGAGAATTCACACTGGAGAGAAGCCGTATATATGCCCTCACTGTGGACAGAGTTTCAGACATAAAGGAAACCTGACGTGGCATATAAGAACTCACACAGAAGATGGACTTTCCACTTGCCATCAGAGTGAGAAGAATTTAATAAAGACACCTTAAGAGTCACAAGAATTCACACTGGAGAGAAGCCTAACATGCCCTCAATTTGAAAAGAGTTTCAAACACAAAGGACACCTTAGCACTATAACTCGCACTAGAGAGTTATTTTCACATGGTGTATTTTTACAAGAGTTATTGCAAGTTATTGTTACATGAAGGACAAATAATTGGCACGTTTGCTTTGATGTGTCCTGTGTTGACAGCCTCACGCGTAAACGATGTAACGGCTGATTTTGCCTTTTAAACTACAATTGCATAATATTTCAAATTGACATATCATGTTTAATACCAAATATGAGCCCAAATGACCATCAGTGATGTAACAGTATAAGCCTCAGCATCACTGCAGTGGGTAGTTCAGGTTTTGTGAGTGGATAATGCAAATAAAAATCTTGCAATGCTGAAAAATATGTCTGATTTTATTTTGGATGATGTAACTAACTTTTACAATCAAAAACTGTTAAATCTGATCCATATTAAATATTATTTGAGTGATTGTGTTTTAACCGATAAATAAATATTCAAATGCATATGTATTCTCTACAAACAAAGGTATTCATAATGCATTTATTTAATGTTTCAAATATTAGATTGTATCATATCCATCATTAAAATTGACCGACTGAAGAACTAGGAAACATTTTTGGTTGTTGTGTTACTGTAATTTCACCTATTACTCAAACTCGCATGTTCGAGCTTGAATAGTTATTCATTAGTCAGCTACTTATTGACACTTTACTGTTCTATCTTGAATAACGTGACGCTTATATAACGCATCCGTATCCAGTATAGCGTTGTTTATATAACAGAGATGTAAAGTGCTGTTTCTCTGGCATTTTCAAAGGCTCGGAAAATATAACACCGTACCTTGATGCACAATCTAATGGTCTTATGAAATCCATTGTAAAGCAAAACATGATTAGTTGGAGCGACATCTGAAATGGCTGATATCTGATTGGCAAAGTAGACTGGATGGAGTCCACTTATTTATGGATTTGTGTGCGTCTAGGCGCAAGAAATGTTTCAAGATCCACAAACGCATGCCATGCAGGCAGAGTTGTGTGACAGATGACATATATGACATTAAACACATTTGAAAATCACTTGGAAAACATCATCTTCATCATTTTTAAAAAGCATTTAAACATATATATTGTTAAGGACCTTTTTTATAAATATCATGAATTGTTACACAAATTCCAATATAGCGCAAGTGGGCTCCAAGTGTCACACTTATTCAGTTGTGTTTATTCTAAGGCTATGGTTCAGACTGTCCATCCAAAATCCTAATTTAGTGCATATCTGATTGAAATCCGATCAGATTTAGCAAGTGTGAACGGTCAAAAATCACATGAAATGCGATTTTTACCAATCCGTTTCAAGCTACATACATATGGGGTTTGAAATCCTATTCAAAATCCTATTTTGGCGTATACCTACCAACGCTACGTCATTGCCATAGAAACCAATGCAGATATTCCAGAAAACTAAAGAAAGGCATGGCCACAAAAAAATTGGATCTTAACAGTTGCAATATACAATGTGGACAGTCAATAATTTTAGATCGGATACACAAAAATCAGTTTTGGACTGACAGTGTGAACGTTGCCTTAGTTTGTTTACAGTAGTCACATGTGTTTCTTTGTTTGAGTTTCCCGCCACTCATTAGTTTCCATGGACACCAATCATCATCACAGCTGTTCATCATTTAGTTCAGTGGTTCTCAAACTATCCTCATGGATCCCACCAAAATGTATCCTTGTTAACTTTTTTTTAATTAATATTTGTCAACTAAAATAACATTGATTTTGTCAGTTGTTTTAATTTACATTAGAATTACACAATAATCAAACACAATAACGTTGACAAAACTTATTTCAGTATACATAGATATCCTGTGACGTCACACATTAAAGACGGTGCCATCTTTAGGACCACCAAGGGACCGGAAGTAAACAGTAAATATGCCTTCTATCTGCTGTGCCGTGGGTAGTGATGGCAAGATGAGGCTTCCTGAACCACTGAGACCTCGCAGCCCATTGCTTCAACCAAAGGTTCATTACTCGAAGCTTCATTCAGCATTGCTCACTAGTGACACCTACTGTACAAAGAAATTGCAGGCAAATTAATTCATTCTGAACCAATGACCCGCCCCCCTCCCGCAATGTTTTATTTATTTATCTTCTTCTAAATATGAGTTAATGTCTCTGTAACCTTTCATTTGCAATAATAAAGAGATCTGTGCAGACATTTGTCCATTGCCTGGGTATGAAATAAAACGTGTATATTTCTCTGTCTGCATTTACTTGTACAGAGACAACTGTCACACACACAGTTAATTAATTATTCCAAAAAATATTGGATAGGGACAGTATGAACAACAAAAGTGACTGTGTTGAGTGCAGTGCTTATGGTGGAGGGACTCGAGGAAGTGTAATAAAGTAAACTGCAGTAAACACCACAGTTTGGGGTGGATGAAGGAAGGATTGCAATAGATTTTTATTGAGAAAATGAATTTTTTGAAGTGTGTTGGGGTTTACACAATTCCTCTTCTTGGACGAAACCTCACCAGCCTTGGAAAAATATCCTTTCACAAGGAACAGAGGATGCAGGGGAACATAAAATGTCAGTGCCAGTGGGTATAAATGAAGATATTGATGCTTCTGTTGAGCCCAGACAGGGGAGGATTTCCTCTTTCTTGCTGGCTCCATTACCATGAAAAAGGAAGATGTCATAAAAAGCAAACAAATCCAAAAGGGGAATCCAAATTAAAAAGCAGTCCAGTCCAGATCCAAGAATCTAAGCTACCAAAAATCCAAAGCAATCCAAATAATCTTATCTAATTAATATAACAAGACTATAACATAGCTACTATAATTAATAATAACAATTATTCATTATTATTAATAACTATTCTAACCTGATATAATGTAATAATATACAGCCCTAACACATATATGACACAATAACGACAATGAGAGTTCTCTAACTCTGACTCTCTGACACGCTACAAGTGCTTACTACTCCTGCAACACCCACAAGGTGGCGCGAGTTTTGAACCCCCTTTATCCAGAAGCGACACTCAGACCGAACCGATGACGTATCCACACAAACCGAGGCCTCGTTTGTCATCAGTCACGTGATTTTCACGTTAACAACACAAGCCTCGAATCGCGGCTTCATCTGGCACGCCCATTTTTTCTCGACACAAGCTCCGATGCCTCGGTTCAAATGTCACATCACTAGCCGTGGGCTGTGATAACAGCAAGTAAAAAAAAAAACGGGACATACGTTTTATAATATTCCTAAAAGCACTGAAAGGAGACATAAATGGTTAGCTGCCATTAAAAGGGATCAGTGGACTCCCACAGAACACTCCAGACTGTGCAATGAACACTTTATTTCGGGTAAGTTAACTCCTTAACTGACGTTAGCTAGTAGCTAGCTATGTTAGCAACCCTACGATAAGATAAGATGACATGTCATGCCACATAACAATGTTGACGATGACAGTGATTCACAAAGTAAAATCAGTCACAATTATTTCATCTCTGCTCATCTATATTGTTTCTGGTAGAGCTAAAGTTACAGGGAGGCTACACCAGGCACGTAACTGAAGTGTTCGTTCGCGTTGCATCTGCTGTAACCTTCTGCTATGATTAGTGAACTGACTACTACCGTACGTAAAAACCCCCACAAAAAAACGTGTTTTATGCACTCCACACATTTCCATGTCTTAGGCACCCTGGTCAGCTTAAGGCAGGTCTTGTGAAAGTGCTTTCGCCTACAATTTCCAGATGTCATAGGTTGACCACAGTAGCATCCCACTTCAGGTGGCTGTTTTGTGGCTGTGGTGTATATGGGAGTAAGGCGTGGTGCTGTATACCATTTCCCCAGCAGCTCAGGGAGCACTCCATTCTTGATGAAATTCACCACTTTGCCATAAGCATCGTGGAAGAAGACAGGATCATATGGAATTCGCTGGGTAAAAACTTCCTGTGGTGTCCACACCATGGAGTCACAGTAACTCACCTCTACAATGTGCATTTGTGCCTGCACTTGATACATGTACTTGTGGAAATGTCAGTGCCATGACCCCATCCTCTCCTATGCCAAGACAGAATGAGGAATCCTTGCCGCTTTCAGTGAGGTAGCAGTTCCTGGTTTTGAAGGGGCATTTTATCTCTAAAACACCATCTCCATGGCAAGTGCAGGCTACCAAACCATCAGGTGATGCTCCAATCCAGGGGAGTTCTGGGTTGATGATGAACCCTGATGCCCTCACCTGGAATTCTTCATGGCGGTCTTGCAACATAGCTTTCCCTTGCTCTGTCCTCATTTTGTTGACCCCATCTGACAAAGATTGGAATGTAAGCATGCAGGTAAATATGGTGCAAAATGTGAGAGCTTGTGTGAACATGCAGAACAAAAAATATCCACTTGTAACTTGAAAATTTGCACTTGTAGAAATGTTTACACACCTGTCACAAACATTTTTTTTCCTCAAATGTGTAGATTGATATGTACATGAACATGACAGCTGCAAACATGTAATACAAAAGTTGAGGCTCACAGATTTACCACTTTGTGATGCAAGCTCTCTTGACAGTGTTTTTTTTTCTTTGTAACTTTAAATTCGGATCACGTGTGTGAAGATTTTTTACAAGTGCAAATTTTAACATACAAGTACAGATTTTTGTTCTGCAAGTTCTCACATTGTATTCTACAAACTCTCACATTAAAATGTGAACATGTCTATCATTTACCAGGGGTTGCATTATGACAATTTTTAAAAAGCATTGATTTACTGGCTTATAAATATCGGCTTCACAAACTTGCAAGCACTATTGTATACAAACTGTAAGCCTTAGAACAAACTAGACCAATTAATCTTGCTTTATGCATGGTTGTCTTGCACAGTAGGCCTATGAATTGCTCTTCTATGAAACTGTTCTGTTATCGATGTACCTTGTTGCCTCAGTGGAGAACCGAGAAGCACGGGGATAGCAAATTCTTTTGATCAAGGATGCAGGTGTGTCTGCTCTGGCTGCCTCACTGAAAACTGACGCTGTGA